GAATTTCAGTGAAATGGGGTTTTAATCCATTTATTAGCTTTCTGAAATCTTCCCTATGAATGGAGTGGTATTGTTCAATCCCTATGGCGATGCCAGCATTTCAAAATCTTCTTTTCATTTTTTTTTTTTTTGTATTGAAATTTTTTCATAGTTGTACATAGTTGTCTCTTGAATTCTCCTTTTTAATGACAATTGTAAATGTATAGAAAAGCGTTTCTGACTTTCTTTCCTATACCCCCATAGACAATGCAGTGGGCCAGGCATAGCGTGATCTGCGTGTTCCATATAATCAAAAAGATAAACAGTGGCCAGTGTTTCACTTTTTTTATTTTTTTATATCCTGAAATCATTTCTCGCATTCAGCTCTGATCCCAATTCAAGTCATATCCAAAGTTTTATTATCTGCCCCATATATACCATGATCTACCTCTGCAGGATTGTCACGGCTGCCAGAGACCCTTTGAATTGGCCGAACGTAAGCATCATTGCCGGGCCTGCGGAGAGGGCTTCTGCTACGACTGTTCCAACCATACCATGCCTGTTCCTGAGAGGGGCTGGGGTCAGGCTCCTGTGCGAGTGTGTAACAAATGCCACAGCGCAGGAATCTCAAAAGGTAAGTGTCGCACAGTGCAATCACATCCACTCCACAAAATGAGGATTTTATCTGCCTTTCCAAAGCTGGTAAATGCAAGCGCTGGCTCTCCGGCAGTTTTTAAACTACAACTTCCATTATAAACCTTTTGTTGTTTGCCGTTCGAAATGGTGATTGCTTTGTAGAGGAAGGGATGGGGGCGTAGTGGGTGGAATCATCACTCTATCCTCAAATGAATAACAGAGAACCAATGGAAACTTAATTACAAATGGGCTTTTAGTCATTCCAGGTTTGTTGTTTAATCCTACAGATATTTCATACTCTGTTCTAGAGTAGAGAAAATATTCATATCACGTTAGTACCCGTAACCCTGCAAACTCTGATGGCTCGAACGCGCTGGTAAGTTGTGATTCTCTTTCACTCGGCAGGTACGGCAGCGTCTACAGATGAAGGGAGCAGCTTGTTACCTCGGAGGGTGACGGAGATCGCCCAGATCTCTCTGGACAAGGCGTCTTCCATCTTGGATTATCCCCTGGGTAATGTTTATTTCTCAATCTCTCCCAGGGTTATTCACTACAGTGGGAATGTTTAGGAATTCAAAGAATTTCACATTTTTGGCCAGAATAGACAGACGTATCAAATGGTTTACTCAAATGTTGTACCTAATAATTAATCCATTCATCCACTAATTAACAAGCCTTAAAAAGCATACTACCTATCATTTTAAAAGGAATTCAACTGGCACCATAACAACTTTATGTCAGCTTGGTTGTTATGGTACCTTGAGATCCTGGGAGGCGTCTTACCTTAAGATTTCAACTGTTTACAAAGTATTGCAGACAGCAGCTGTACGCTAGGCCTCTCCTCCTCTGCCTTAGTCCTGCGTCAATGTGAAATCCTGAACTTGGTCTTACTGAGAAAAATGGACGTATGTTTCTCAATGGGAAACCAGCTATTCCGTGGTGAAAACTATTTCTCACCATTATCAACATCTTCCTATTAATTTTATAAAAATCATTGACTCCAGTAACATAATATAGCGGACATGGGACAAGCCAATCACCCACAATTTTCTCCGTTGCATAGCAGAATGAAAAAGGCATTTCTAGCAAAATTCTCCCAGTTTATTTATCATCCACAGTGGGACAGCAATTAAAAAAAAATGATTGTAATATTTTTGTGGGATTTTTTTTTGTGTGTGTGTGTGTGTGTGTGTGTGTGTGTGTGTGTGTGTGTGTGTGTGTGTGTGTGTGTGTGTGTGTGTGTGTGTGTGTGTGTGTGTGTGTGTGTGTGTGTGTGTGTGTGTGTGTGTGTGTGTGTGTGTGTGTGTGTGTGTGTGTGTGTGTGTGTGTGTGTGTGTTATATATTGAAAAATTGATTTCTGTGTTACTGATTTAGATATCGTTTTCCAGGTTTTGTGAAGGAAGCGGCACGTCCCAGCTACTGGGTGTCTGACCAAGAAATAATCAGCTGCCACGGATGCCAAAAGCCTTTTACCCCCAAGATGTCCAAACACCACTGCAGGGCATGTGGCCGAGGATTCTGTGAATTGTGCTCCAGGACCAGGCGGGCGGTGCCCTCCCGTGGGTGGCATCACCCGGTCAGAGTCTGTGATACATGCAACCAAAAGAAAGAGGATCTGTGAGGGAGATGGTTGCTTTAACCCATAGCATATGGCCCTGTCTCCGGCTTTATCATAAATACGACTTATCCATCCTGGCTGATGGAGAAATAGTTATGATCAGTGTAAACATTACCCTCTGCAATTTTTTGCTGCGGTAACTGGAAGGGGTAGGATTATACTCTAAGCTTTAATTCCTCCAAAATTGTATCTTTTATCTCATACAACTGAGGGGCTCCTGTTAGGAGTCTTAAAGACCAACCACTTCACATAAGTTACATACTCAGGAAGCAAAAAGAGTTTCAGCAAGTAGCCTTTGTGTGTTCCTTCAATGGGACCATCATTCATTTTTAGTACAAAAAGATTTGTTCACTTAATATAAATCACAATTCCCCTTTTCCTTTCACTCACACCGTTTAACTGTCCAATCAATATGCAATAGTGCACAAATCAATATGCAATAGACTCACTATGTCCGTGAAGAGACAGCAGTATCTATCATTTCAACACATGTCTTTATATCTGAAGTCGAGGTTTTCAAATTGTCCTGTATGGCAATGGTAATTGCCCACTTTGCATCCTAAGCCTCCTCGTAACTGACCGCTCAGGAATTACAGTTCTATGTATATATATATATATTGCTGTAAGGCGCTAATACAGTCTCTGCAATGCAACCCGATCTTCCTCCAATAGTTATCAATCCTGGTGGTTTTTGTCCGATCAGTTACGTCTCAGAGAGAAGCATTGAGGTGGAAATTGCGGCAGTCCCAATCAATGCTTCTCTAAGAGAATCACTGACTGTACACCGTGTCTGGCTGGCCCTCAGTAGTTGAATCTAAATTTGTCTGAAGCCCCTACTGCCTGCAGATCACTAGAGGCATGGAACCTGCAGCATGTAAACTATGCTGTGTCTCAGAAATATCTTTTTACTAGTCGTACTGCATTAGGATGAATGTGACTTTAACTTATTTCTAATGAATATAGCATGGAAATTTGCAATCAAACATATTTTATCTGAATAAAGAAATTTTATAGACCAATGTCCTAACCACATTGCACAGCTATCATTTCATACTAAAAGCATTTCTTGTTTGGGGTTTTTAACCCAACTGGTCGTTTACGAGGACTTAGAACCAGAACTTGGATCACAAACAATCCAAAATGCTTTGCAAATGTGTTATAACTCCAATTGCTGCATTGAGCAATTCATTATAATGGGTTAAGTCAAATTAAGTTAATTTGATCATTGGGGATATTGGAGAAATATTGTCTTTCACAGAAAAGGTTACGTCTCCAGAATCCCATATTAAAGGGAATCAGCACTTCGTTTTAAACTTATTTTCTGTAATGATTAGTATTGTATATGAACTGTATATAAAGTCCTTTTTTATGTTATTCTATATGTCTTTCCACAATATTAAATTGTTCCATTCAGTTTGTGTCCATTTCCTGGTTATTACCTTCTCTTTTTGCTAACGCTTGTCTGGGACTATAAAAAAACTTCTACAAAGTTCACGGTTTATATTGCACGATTAAATCCACAGCTAGCGTTTGTCATCCACAAAAAGTGCAGTTTCCAATAGAAATTTGTAGTTTCATAAATGAACCTGGTTACACCCCCCCGGCTGTCAATCAGACACCAGGTCCGGTTACTTCCTGGTTTGTTTAGCTCAGTGGAGATAAACTCAAGAGGCAGCATTTAACTGCATTGGGAAGTCTGTGATTGTTAGAAGGGGAGTGCTTGCAGTAGCTGCATATAATATATCATACTGCCCCAAAAGAAAACATGTAAAACAAAATTATAGTAACAACCCCTGGATGTTAAGGTAACAACCCCAGGACGTACCTGAAAACCAGAGTAATCTGAATGTACCTTTCATGGTTAAATACTTTGTTATTATTATTTAATTGCATGCATATTTTCTTTGAAGGTGTTTCTACTAAATTGATGTTTTAGTTTTGTGGGGTTTTTTTATGGAGTGGGTTCTATTTTTTTTTATTTTTTTTTTTTTTTATTTTTTTTATTGTCTGCAAATATAGTACAATATGAAACGGGACTTGTATGTGTTTTTGTGTTTTTTTTTTTTTTTTTTTTTTTTTTTTATATATTATAATTAGTGATGTCCCGAACGGTTCGCCGCGGACTCATCATTGAGTAAACTTTGACCCTGTACCTCACAGTCAGCAGACATATTCCAGCCAATCAGCAGCAGACCCTCCCTCCTGGACAGCATCCATTGTGAAGCTGCATTCTTAGTGAGCTGTCCAGGAGGAGGGAGGGTCTGCTGCTGATTGGCTGGAATGTGTCTGCTGACTGTGAGGTACAGGGTAAAGTTTACTCAATGATGAGTCCGCGGTGTGTTTACTGTGAGACGATTTATGTTTATTCATGGTTATTTCTATGCAACCTTTATTACTATTGTTATTATCTATATATTTTAGGATTCTGGGGAGTGTGCCTGCTTGATTTGCCTTTACTCCTCAGTGGGTCTCTTATTCCACCCCTCTTTACCCTGGGAAACTGGTTTCCTGCTATACCTCCCTCCCGGCTATATTTGCCTGACGGGGACCGACGGCAGGTTTCCCCTTTCCCCTATCTCTCTGTTCCTGGTCTTGCTGCCGTACCCCGCCACGGCTTATCAGCCGCATGTATTTTTACTTTCATTTTTGTGCCGCTCGCATCGCGCATGCGCGGTTTCGCTCGCGGCAGCCATTTTCTGGGTTTCTGTCGTCGCCCTTGGGTCGATGGCCATCTTTTTTACCCAGAGTGGCGTAGTTTAGGTGTGGGTCCGGTCTGCAAGCGGTAAACGGCTCCTCTTCCCTCTTCCACACTCCCATCACTGGTATCTGTTTTTTCTACATAGTCATACTGTGTTATTGATCCTTTCACATAGAAGGCTTGGTTTAAGCAATCCTTGCCTCACATATATATATTTCTATTATTACCTGGCTTGTTGGATTTTTCTTAATCATGCAGTCTGCTGGTGATGGCTCTTCTGGCCACCCCCTGCCCCTTGGGACTTCTATCTCTGATCTTGTTAATGATGTCACTCTCATGGGTTAAGAGGAGTTCCAAAACTTGTTGGACGCCACTATGTCCAACTCCATTAGTAAGGCCATATCTTCGGCCATGGGAACTATGTCATCTACCATTACACATTCCATCATGCAGGCTCTGATGCAAGCTCACCCTGCCTATATGGCCCATTTACAGACTGCTGCCGCCCTTGAGGTGGTGCTACCAGGCCGCAAGGCCTTGAGCAAACGCAAACACGCTAGTGACCCTCCTTTCCCCCAGGTGACCCCTGGTTTGACTGACACGCCTCAGGCTGTCTTTGGTGGCGCGTAACAACCGCGCAGAGGAGCTACTGGCTGGGCAAAAGCATTCAGACATTGGAAACTGGCAAGGACCCAAGATGTTATGTCTGATTCAGACGATAGTGGGGAGGAGGGGTCGGATGACCAATATTCTGATCCTTGTGAGTACGAGATCTCGGAAGGCGAGGACCTTCCTGGGAAACTTATCCCATCCGCACCGACTCAGGCAGCTCTAGCGACTGCACCGTCGGATATACCTGGGTCAGGCGATATCCGTGACACAAAGGAGACGCTTTTGTTCGATCCGCACAATTTACATCACCCTCGCTCCGCTGAATGGGAACCACCGGAGCATATTGCTCAATATCTAACATTGAGAGTACGAAAACCTCTCTCCCAGGAGGGTCGTAACAAATTGAGAGCAGAATGCCCCGTCCTATTATACCTGATTCAGTAGCAAAAACCCCTGAGGTGGACCCACAAATTGTACAGTTTTTGGCAAAAACCACCTGGAAGCCGTAGAAGGGCGTGGAGTACTCTTTACGCAATTGTTAAGACAAGTTCTTAGACACCCTGGGCCTGGTCACCAAATTATATGAACTGCTTGAGGCAGCACATTCGGGTGAGACCCAGCTGGATTTTGAATGTGGCCTTTGGTTGGCTACAACGCCTGGTCTGTATGATTGCCAACACCAATACGGCAATGTCCATTGAGCGCAGGAAGGCGATCCTGCTGAAGATCGAGTCTAAGCTGGCTAGCACGGCCTGCACAGAATCGGGAGCTTCCGCTAAGGGCTTATTGTTTGGCGAGTCCTTCGTGAAGGACCTGGGCTCATATGTGAAGACCTTTGGACAAGGCCCAGTCCTCAATCAAAAGGCTCTTCAACCATAAGCTTTTCAGTGGGGCCGGTAGAGGTAGGAGCCGACTATCCGGCCGCAATCCCCGGGGTTTCTCCAGACCGGGCAAAGGCTCCTTCAATCCACAAAGAGCAAGGCAAGTGCATTCATATACCCCGTTCTTTCCTACCTGAGGACGACCTTGGAATGCCCGCGGCGGTCGGGGAACGACCCCAGGAAAACGTCCTTATGGTAAGTACGGTATATTCCCATTTTTTCCCATATAAATGTGGGGGACAGACTGGCTCTATTCTACCGAGCTTGGGCTATGATCACATCCGATACCTGGGTGTTACAGACTGTACAGGGTTATCACTTGGAGTTAACAGACCTTCCTTTTCAGGACGCCCCACCACGGGTGCTCAATATGCCGAAACCCACCTCGATCTCATCTCCTCTGTGATCAGGGATCTGAAGGCCAAGATTGCCATAGAGGAAATCCCTCAAGATACCCCAGGTTTTGTGAGCAACCTGTTTCTAGTACCGAAAAAGGGTGGAGGCATTTGCCCGGTTATAAACCTGCGACCCTTAAATGCCTTCGTCCAATATCGGCACTTCAAGATGGAGGGCATACACTGCCTCCGAGACCTGTTTCTCCCTGTGGACTGGATGGTCAAGCTCGATTTAAAGGACGCCTATCTGACGGTCCCCGTAGCTATAGACCACAGGAATCTGCTACAATTTCAATGGGGAACAAAGAAATGGCGTTTCACATGCCTTCCCTTTGGACTGTCCTCCGCTCCCTGGTGCTTCACGAAAGTACTGAAGCCAGTGGTTGCCTTCCTCAGGCTGCACGGAATTTGGCTCATTATATATCTGGATGACATCCTCATACTTTCACAGACACGGGGTCAACTGACAATCCATTTGTCATGGACGTTACATCTCCTGCAGAATCTCGGTTTCCTGGTGAACTGGGAGAAATCGGTTCTCCAACCTTCACAACAAATGGAATTCCTGGGTTTTCGAGTCGACTCCGTTCAACAGATCCTATGCCTTCCGGCAGAAAAGATCTCCAATATAAAGAAAGAAATAGGACGGTTGATGAGCCGTCCAGACATATCACTGAGACAGTTGGCAAGAGTCATCGGCTTATTGGCCGGTTGTTGATTTTGCCTGTTCTTCGGATCGCTTCAGAAAGAGGAAGAAGTATGGACAACGTTTCGGCCTTTCGATATATCAACCATCTGGGGGACACCAAGTCACGTATCCTAGCAGTCTTGGCTCGAGACTTCGGGCATTATTGTCTGCAGAACAACGTGTCTGTGACCGCAGAACACATACCGGGTCTAGAGAACTACACTGCGGATTGGAACACTCGTTACCTGAGGAACATGGGGGATTGGAGACTTCAACCAGTTGTATTCAACAAGATCGCTCAGCTATGGGTACCCTTGCATGTGGATCTTTTTGCATCCAGACTGAACACGCAGCTGCCTCCGTTTTTCAGCTGGCGACCGGATCCAGAAGCCATATCGATGGATGCGTTCCTCCAGGATTGGACCACGGGTCGATTTGTATGCCTTTCCTCCGTTCAACCTGATTGCTCAGACTCTGGCGTACCTCCGACGCTGCAAAGGCACAGTAGTCCTTATAACCCCATGCTGGAGGTCTCAACCTTGGTTTCCCCACCTGTTTGAGATGGCGATAGATTGTCCACGGTTATTACCAGATTACGCATTTCTTCTGACCAATCCAGACCGGGAGAGTCACAGTCTGATAGATCAGGGACTTCTTTGTCTCATGGCGTGGCTCGTTTCCAGGGATCCTGGGAAATCACGGAGGTTTCGAGAACGACTACCAGCTCCTGGCAAACGCTTTGGCACCAGGAACGCGGCGTTCCTATCCTGCGACATGGAGAACGTGGTCCAGTTGGTGCTTGGAATGATCAGTGGATCCTAAATCAGCGTCTGTGAAAGTGGTCTTGAATTTTCTGACACACTTGTTCGAATCTGGCAAGGCCTTCTGCATCGTTAATCTATACCGGTCAGCTATCTCAGCGGGTCATGAAAGCTTGGACGGTGTCCCAATCGGACCAAATCCTATGATCTGTCGCCCACTCAAAGGTATTCGTTTCAACGCCTTTTGGATCCTTTTGGGATGTAAACGTGGTGTTCGGGGTTGTTGGGATACACTTTTTTCAGTGACGTGGATTGTTTTTTGTTTTTTCTTCTTTCTTTTTTTATTTGATAACTTACATGTTTTGTTCACGTTTTTGTTGTTTTTTTTCTCAAGAGGTAAGATTACTCACATTGGTTTTTTGTGGCGATTCTTTGTGTCTTATGACCAATGACTTTTCTCTATGAATATGTCACTATATATGTTGGTATATATGTTGCAACCAGATGACTATTGAAATATTACCATTTTTCTCTTCTTTTTTAGCTTGACTACTTCTATCGATGCCCTGAGGTTTGAAAGAAAGTTAAACCGTTGTTTCCGCAGAGGATGGAGGTACGGCTACTGTCCGTTTTTTCCGAGTTCAGTTCGATGTTGCGGTTGTTGATTTTGCCTGGTCTTCGGATCGCTTCAGAAAGAGGAAGAAGTATGGAGTGCTGCACCTTATATACTAAGTGGCTGATGCTGATTGGTAGCACGGTTGCTAGGCAATGTTCTGGATTTTTTTTCTCTTTTGTATACATCTCTCTTCGCTGCGGAGGGAAATTAAAAGAATGAGAAGCATAATACTTGCCTCCGTGTCTTTAATAAAATCATGACTTTACGTTATGTTAATAGTAAAACCTTTGAATTTTTCGAGTCTTTTGTCTTTTGTGTGTGATCAGCTTTCTAAGAACTATTTGCCTAATATAGACTGTCACAAAGAGATACCAGACTTTAATTTCACATACTGTGGCATCCAGTTAACCATATGGTACCCATATGTAATGTGTGGCAGCAACCAAAGTACATTTTTTTATTAGGGCCCAGACTCAAGAGTGAGCAGTATCTTATTGGGTACAACAGCGGCTCCCACCATGTCCAGCAGGGCATAATGGACGACTGAGTGTGCTGTGAGTTAACTTTGTTTACACACGTAACATAACCTATATATTTATTTCAGGTCTATCTGACATACCTGTCCTTCCCCGATGTACTACGTCCCCCTTTCTTCGAGGAGCTGTGTAACCTGTAATGTCAGTACGGACAGACGGTCTCAGTCTGTAAACTGGTAAAATGCCTTTTTAAAGAAAACATTAAAGTATTCATTCTGTAAAATGAAGAACTAATGAGTAACTGCGGTAAAACGTATATAATTACAATTTTTATTATTTATACAGCGCCATCAAATTCCGTAGCGCTGTACAATCACATCAGTCTAAGGCAGTAATCCTGCACGTTGGCACCCCAGAAGTCTGAAGTGCATTGTACAAGTTCACAGATCTCGGGGTACCATGGTGGGATGATACTGAGAGAGGAAGAAATTATGGCAGGCTTTGTGAGGACATCATTCCAGGGTCAGTGAGTCATATTGCTAAAGGTTGACAGATGAGGGTCAGCAAATTGGAATGTTCTCCTGACCAGAGAGGCGGTGGGGGAGTCCAGGACTGGCTCCATTTACAGATACAAAACTATTAGGGACACCTGGGAATAGCTCAATCCAGACAATGTTAACCCATTAAAGGCCTAAATCACATACATAACCCTGCATATTGGGAGTCCAACTTTGGGTTCGTTACTGTAAAATAAGAATGTAAGATTTTAATAATGAGAATGTAGTGAGGTTAAATTATTCTTCTATGTCAGGTTTTGCCCAGTCGTGCTTGAAATTAGATTCTCCATGCGCCCTCATTTCGGCAGGACCTGAAGATTCGTATCACTGGGGTGTTAGTGGTCATTAGAAAAGCCATCTAAGATAGTGTTTATTAAACAGATTTCATACACAACGGCAGATATGGTTTTGTCGATGTCCACATTGGAATAGAATTCGGAAATGGCAGATGCATCACTAAATACATTGCTAGATTATACCTTCTATCGATCACTAGATACAATACTAGACTATACCTTATATCGATCACTAGATACATTACTAGACTATGCCTTATATCGATCACAAGATACATTACTAGACTATACCTTATATCGATCACTAGATACATTGCTAGACTATACCTTATATCGATCACTAGATACATTACTATACTATACTTTATATCGATCACTAAATACATTGCTAGACTATACCTTATATCGATCACTAGATACATTTCTAGATTATACCTTATATCGATCACTAGATACAATGCTAGACTATACCTTATATCGATCACTAGATACATTACTATACTATACTTTATATCGATCACTAGATACATTACTATACTATACTTTATATCGATCACTAGATACATTTCTAGATTATACCTTATATCGATCACTAGATACAATGCTAGACTATACCTTATATCGATCACTAGATACATTTCTAGATTATACCTTATATCGATCACTAGATACATTACTATACTATACCTTATATCGATCACTAGATACATTTCTAGACTATACCTTATATCGATCACTAGATACATTACTATACTATACCTTATATCGATCACTAGATACATTTCTAGACTATACCTTATATCGATCACTAGATACATTACTATACTATACTTTATATCGATCACTAGATACATTACTATACTATACTTTATATCGATCACTAAATACATTGCTAGATAATACCTTATATCGATCACTAGATACAATGCTAGACTATACCTTATATCGATCACTAGATACATTTCTAGATTATACCTTATATCGATCACTAGATACAATGCTAGACTATACCTTATATCGATCACTAGATACATTACTATACTATACCTTATATCGATCACTAAATACATTGCTAGATTATACCTTATATCGATCACTAGATACATTACTATACTATACCTTATATCGATCACTAGATACATTTCTAGATTATACCTTATATCGATCACTAGATACAATGCTAGACTATACCTTATATCGATCACTAGATACATTACTATACTATACCTTATATCGATCACTAAATACATTGCTAGACTATACCTTATATCGATCACTAGATACATTACTATACTATACTTTATATCGATCACTAGATACATTTCTAGATTATACCTTATATCGATCACTAGATACATTACTATACTATACTTTATATCGATCACTAGATACATTTCTAGATTATACCTTATATCGATCACTAGATACATTACTATACTATACTTTATATCGATCACTAGATACATTACTATACTATACTTTATATCGATCACTAGATACATTTCTAGATTATACCTTATATCGATCACTAGATACAATGCTAGACTATACCTTATATCGATCACTAGATACATTTCTAGATTATACCTTATATCGATCACTAGATACATTACTATACTATACCTTATATCGATCACTAAATACATTGCTAGACTATACCTTATATCGATCACTAGATACAATGCTAGACTATACCTTATATCGATCACTAAATACATTGCTAGACTATACATTCCATCAATCACTCACGTTATATTAGTCACTCATATTATATCAATCACTCACCTTATATCAATCACTCACAATATATCGATCACTCACCTTATATCAATCACTCAATATGAGTGACACATTATATTAGTCACTCATATTATATCGATCACTCACCTTATATCAATCACTCATATATCAATCACTCACGCTATATTAGTCACTCACATTATATCAATCACTCACATTATATTAATGACTCATATCAATTACTCACATTATATCACTTACTCACATTATATTAATCACTCACGTTATATCAGTCACTCACGTTATATCATTTACTCACATTATATTAATCACTCATATTACATCAGTCACTCACATTATATCAGTCACTCATATCAGTCACTCACATTATTTCAATCACTCACATTATATCACTTACTCATAATATATCAGTCACTCACGTTATATCATTCACTCACATTATATCAATCACTCATATTATATCAGTCACTCACATTATATCAGTCACTCACATTATATCAATCACTCATATCAGTCACTCACATTATATCAATCACTCATATCAGTCACTCACATTACATAGTTACATAGTTACATAGCTGAAAGGAGACTTGCGTCCATCAAGTTCAGCCTTCCTCACATTTGTTTTTTTGCTGTTGATCCAAAAGAAGGCAAAAAAACCAGTTTGAAGCACAATTTTGCAACAAGCTAGGAAAAAAATTCCTTCTTGACCCCAGAATGGCAGTCAGATTTATCCTTGGATCAAGCAGTTATTGCCCTACATGGAACAATTATATCCTTGAATATTCTGTTCTTGCAAGTATGCATCTAGTAGCCGTTTGAACATCTGTATGGACTCTGATAAAACCACTTCCTCAGGCAGAGAATTCCACATCCTGATTGTTCTTTCCAGTAAAAAAAACTTCTCCTTTGCCTTAGACGAAATCTTCTTTCTTCCAGTCTAAACGCATGACCTCGTGTCCTATGTAAAGTCTGTTTTTTTAATAGATTTCCACACAATGGTTTGTATTGGCCCCGAATATATTTGTATAATAATTTGTAATAAAGGCAGGAATCACTCATATCAGTCACTCACATTATATCAGTCACTCACATTATATCAATCACTCATATTACATCAGTCACTCACATTATATTAATCACTCACGTTATATCATTCACTCACATTATATTAATCACTCACATTATATCACTTACTCACATTATATTAATCACTCACATTATATCACTTACTCACATTATATCAGTCACTCACATTATATCAATCACTCATATCAATCTCTCACATTATATCAATCACTCACATTATATCAGTCACTCATGTTATATCAATCATTTACGTTATATCAGTTACTCACGTTATATCACTCACTCACATTACATCACTCATGTTATATCAGTCACTCACGTTATATCACTCACTCACTTAATATCAATCACTTACATTATTTCAATCACTCACATAATATCAATCACTCACATTATATTAATCACTCATATTATATCAGTCACTCACATAATATCAATCACTCACATTATATCACTTATTCATATTATATCAGTCACTCACATTATATCAATCACTCATATTAAATCAATCCCTCATATTATATCAGTCACTCACATTATATCAGTCACTCACATTATATCAATCTCTCATATTATATCAGTCACTCACATTATATCAGTCACTCACATTATTTCAATCACTCACATTACATCAATCACTCATTTTATATCAGTCACTCACATTATATTAATCTCTCACGTTATATCAATCACTCACATTATATCACTCACATTATATCAATCACTCATGTTATATCAGTCACTCACATTATATCACTCATGTTATATCAATCACTCACATTATTTCAATCACTAACATTACATCAATCACTCACATTTTATCACTCACTCACATTATATCAGTCACTCACATAATATCAATCATTCATATTATATCAGTCACTCACATTATATCAGTCGCTCACGTTATATCACTCATATTATATCAGTCACTTACGTTATATCAGTCACTCATATTATATCAGTCACTCACATTATATCAGTCACTCACGTTATATCAGTCACTCACGTTATATCACTCACATTATATCACTCACATTATATCAATCACTCATACTATATTAGTCACTCACGTTATATCACTCACGTTATA